ACATATAATGATTTATTTAATCACTAGGGCAACGGTGAACATTTTTGCATCATTTTCAAAGTCAAAAATGTGCAGGCTAAGACACTCTCAACCCAGGTTCAGTTGTGATTGCAGTTCCTTTTTTAAAATGGTAAGAGCATTGTTTTTTTCTGATCGTCACTGCCACCAATGACTCAACCACATCCACACATTCATATACACAATGTGAGCGGTGTGTCTTGCCCAAGGACACAAGTACCTTATTGATAAGTAATATGTATATGGGTGACTCTGACGTGAGTTTAGAGTCACTTCAGCATGTCATGTCATGTCATGTTATGAGTTTAACCCCGAGGTCTGTTGTGGTTCTGTTGTACACATAAGGTCGGTCCTGCTTCAGCCATACTGATATATTTGTTAAAAGTAGAAGTGCATTTTTGTTTTGACTTGTCTAAATTCTGAATGAGCAGCACTGCATTTGTGACTGGACTTTTATTGGGTGTTTTGAGGAGCACTCCAAAGATTAAGGATCAGTCTTAAATTTTTGAAATCTGCAGCTCTTTAGTGAGTTGCATAACTGGCTTTTATAAGGCAAACATTCTTCTTCTATTTTCTTTAACAGCTCCACGCCTCGAAGATCCACTTGTTTTTAAATACATAATATATCCTCCAAATGAACCAGATGCTGCAGTAATGTGAAGGACGGGCCCCACTCTAGACTAGATGATGGTCTTATGTGGGGATTTCAAATATTACTATAGGAGCAATTTTATTTGTTGTAAATGTTTACATGTTTGGAAACAGGTAATAATAAATAGTAGTTGTAGTAGGAACTTAGTAGTTACAGAAAGTAGTATCACAAATAGCACCAACAAGTACGAGTAATTTTACTTTTTGTTTTGAATAGACCCTCTTGATGTCAAGAATAAACTACAGCAGAACTTTCGTGGTTCAGTCATGTGATAATAGTTTGTTAAAACGTAAAACACCACAATAGGGACATTCTTGTTTTTCTCTTTAGAACAAGCTCATGACACAAGAGACCGGAAGAAGAGCATCAATATCTGTTCTAGTTCAAATATATTGTAAGAATAAGTAGAAAAGAATTTTAAAAAGTAGAAATAAGAAAAAAGTAAAACTAAAATACTGGTGCATCCAATCAGAGAGAACATATAGGTAACATCATTACATTTAAGATTGATTTTAATTTGAATTAAACTTTTCTATTTATAAATTATTATTATTATTTTTTTTACTTCCTAGTTGGATATGGGCAGCACATCGGACATATGTAAAGGCAATTACTTCACTGTTATCTAGCAACTAAAATGTAAACAGTGGCCAAAACCTGTCTAAATTAGACAATAGTTAAGACAGATGAGACTAATGAAAATAAATAACAACACATTCATTTTGTTAAACCATTAAACCACTGCATTTTGGATAAAATTTTCTGTTTTGATGACATACATAGAGATACTTTATTTTAGCAATCACCTCTACTTCCAATATTTTTGTCCTTTTTCTTACAACTTTTCTATCCACAAAATGCTGTGATAAATATTTACCACAGTACTAACTGAAAAAACATGAAAACCTGTCATATGAACTAAACGACATCATGAATTGCATTGAAAACAAGACCTACATTTTAAGTTCGTAATAACTCTTAATTTACAACTGCTCTTAGAAGCTTTATTTTGCTAGACAAGAGAGGAAGAATTATTACTCAAGATAATGTAGTGTAGAAGAGAAAGGGCAGTAATCCAAACAGGATCTTATATAAGGTAACTATGGTAATAATTGTATCAAATACATATCAAGAAATGTCCCAGACTTTTTATTTTGCTTATACGCTATCCAAAAACAACATTTTACCTTTTGACAATGGGTTTGAAGGGGAATTGAGCCAGGAGCTAGTCTGTAAAAATACTAGTGTCACTTAACACAGTTTGCCAGAATTTTGATTCTTTAAAGGAGCACTACGTAACTTTTCTGGTGAAGGGTCCGCTCCCTGCTTATCTCCATGGAGGTGTTATTGTTTTCCCAGAAAGTTCCATAGTATGACATTAAACATATTCAGCATTTATGAATTATATGGGTGTTTCTATTGCTCAGAAATATAAACATTGACATTCTGTGAATAGGGGCGACTCTCCACAGATCTGAACAGTAATGTAGCATAGTGCTGTAACCTGCTTGTCTCCCTCATGATAGATAGGTTTAATCTATATTGTGGAACATTCTAGACAAAGTAATAAGATTTCTGTGGGGACAAGCAAGTGGCAGAAATGTTACATGGTGCATCTTTAATACAGCTGGATAAAACCTTATGAATGTTTGGTAACAGCAGGAGTTGAAAAGATGGCTATATTTCACAATGTGTGTATTTTCACCTGTTAAATATTCGGAGCAGAGTATAAGAAAACTTAAACATGTGCACTATGTAACTTTTCTGGTGGAGAGTTCATCACCTGCATGTCTGTCTCCATGGAGATAAATTTGCCTTCTAAGTTCTAATGTATTGTAAAACATCTCTAATTAGGAATTAGCATGTTTCATGGTTTAAAAGGCCTATAATGTTATTTCCTCATCAAACACATACTTGGGGTTGTGTTTTGTTTAACGCACAAATCCTAAGTATGTAGGCTGAGTTCTTTTTTCAAATGGAAAACATGCTGTTCCAGCTTGTTCCTGTTCCAGTCATGTGATAATACAGCACAACACAATAAAGGATGTGCTCCATATACCTTCACTAGAATCATATGGATAAATTCAATCCTGGAATTATTCATCTTTGCTGAACTAAACGTAAAAGGAGCTGTTAACTTGAAACTTACTGCTTTAGTATTTTGATCGTTGGAGATGTAGACAGACTAATAACAAAGGATTACTGAAACATGTGTGAAACAAGAGGTAACAACATTATAACATGGCTAATAGCTCACAAGAATCAATTTTGCGTAAGATAGGACCTTTAAAAACATTGGAAGGTTTAAGCAAAAAGATAACATTGTAGGGTTGCAGCCATGGAGACAAGCAGATGGCAGATCTTTCTCCAAAAAGTTACATAGTGCACCTTTAAATATCAATACTTATGAAACTCCTCTTAGGTGTGACTCAGTACTCACTGGAATAATACCAACTTTGAAGGTAAGTGTGCTACTTATATCTGCTTAAATACAAAAAATTGTGTTTCATGAAATAGCATTTTAAAAGATTGTATTTACAGAGTGCTCCGCATGCACACTATATTTTTATGAATAGAAATGATGCATTTACAAATCTGGTCCTTACAGATGAGAATTGGGCGTTTATGGTTTTATATTTGGAATTGGGGGTCAGTTTATGTTGTATTTGAAAGGGTTTTAATTAGATCTGATCCAAATGAACCTCTGTAATCAGTTTTATGTCCAGAGACCACATATTCTCAGCGCTGTTCTAACCTTGTGCTATTCTCTGAGGCCTGTCCTTGCACATGAATACACTCCTGTAGATAATTGTAATGTGAAATGCTTGAAATAAAAATAAGAAGAACATTTTCTTTTTTAAATCCAAATTTTGTTTTTATAGCTTCATCACATTGACATGTATATAGAATTATACACATACAATTCTAAAATAACCACTGTTAAAAATATTTACTTTGTGAGTTCATGATTAAAGGTGCATTGTGTAACTTTTTAGGTGAAGGGTCAAATGCTTTTCTCCATGGAGATATTACTACTTTGTTTGGAATGTTTCACAGTATGATATTAAACCTTTCTATCTTCATGGGAACCAAACCAGACCAAATTATAGGTCAGATCTGTGGAGAGGCAACACACACAGTCAGAATGCCTATTTTTGTATGTATTTTTGAGCTATAAAACCAACACCTGTAATTGAATCAATGTAAGGTAGAGCTGTTTAATGTCATACTGTGGAACATTTCAGCCAGAGCAATGAAATATCCATAGAAACAAGCAGGTGATGGACCCCTGACCAAAAAGAGTGCATCTTTAAGGCTTAGTACTTAATTGGGAGGTTAGGGTTGGGATTTATTGGTTAGACTGATAATTAAGCAGTTACTAAGCCTAAATAATTTGTAATAAACATTTAAATTAGTTCATTATGATTTTCTTTCTTTTCTGCTTTATTCATTATTACTCATTCCGAAGTTTATAACATGATACCTAAAAATCTAAACCATATAGTGCTTTTGATAAGATGTACAAAAGATTCAACCTGGAAAAATAATAGAATAGGATTTCAAATCAGACATTTGTGCAGATCTAGAATATATATATATATATATATATATATATATATATATATATATATATATATATATATATATATATATATATATATATATATATATATATATATATATATATATTTATATATATATATATATATATATATATATATATATATATATATATATATATATATATATATATATTTCACAACCTAGTAGTAAAGTATTCATTATAACAATAAATAACACAGTTTTGTAGTAAATGAGTACATTGGACAGCAAACTATTTTTGTATTGAATTTTATGTGAAGTTTCTCATCTTCTCCACAATACTAACACCAAATGACTCAGGGGTTTCTATGTAATTTTCAGATTTATTTTTTTTTAGTCTTGGAAACTAGACAGACTCAAAATAAAACCTAGTGCCCAATTGATTTGCACACTACTGGAGAGGTGAGAACCAGTGACCTTTGGGAGGGATTTGGGTAGGGATTGACACATGTCGCCTAATAAACATGATGGAGATAGCTATAGAATAAAAAAGAGAAACTGTCCAACCAGGATGGAGGAGGCGGAGTAAGTAGCAGAAAGGAGTTAACAAGTATGTTTCAAAGGCTGTTGTGTGGTGACGTACATGCTACCATTGATTACAAGAATGCGTAGGTGGCTTTACCTTTAATAAAGGAAACAAAGTGTCTCTTCAGTATCTCTTTACTTCAATTACACACTCAAGGCCCTGCTCCAGCATCCGGGCTCCCAACGCTGTGAGCTATAAAAGGGGAGAGCCGTCCTCACAGCAAAACCGCTCCTACAGTGTACAGAGCATTCACAGCGCAGAAGAAGAGAGAGAGTGTGGAGCGTAGCAAATACTGAAAAGATCTGTGGAGACAAGAGAGGAGAGTGGACCAAAAGGTAAAAATGCTTGACTTCTATTGTTTTGTAATGCCACTGTTAAATTTAATTCAGAAAGTATGATTTGGGTTTGCTTAATGGTGTAAAATAGAACTTTCTTTTAGCATTCTGGAGCGCATAAAAGTCTCAGTTGTTCAGAAGATGTCTTTGTTTAGTTTTTTTCCTACTTGTTAAATACAATTGTTTATCCTATTTTCCTAAACTAAACTATATATATATATTTTTTTATAATTTTCTATGAAAATAAACAACATTTGGGATTATTGTTTAATTTTAGTGTTGTAGTTATTTTCTTCTTTAATAGTTCTTTTTTCATTCCAAATGTAAAAAAAAAGAGGTTGTCATAATTTTCTGGTAAATTTTTATTTCAACTTCAAGTGGGTTCTAAGCCATTTAGGTAATCATAAGACCACATTAACAAAAACAAAAAAACAAAAAAGCCAGCACTGTGATTTCTAATTTCAGTTTTGGGCTGATTGCAAGATTATATTCAGATAATGAGGTCTTTCTATTTGGAATATAAACTTTTTTCTTTTTTCCAAAAATTGGCTTATTCAGAGGCTTTTCCTTTTAATCTGCACATTAACAATGGTTTGCATAAGAGAGATCATACCATACAAGCGCATGTAGTCATACTTTGAGAGACCCTCTTTGAGGTCCATTTTGTGTTATATAGTGCTGTAAATGACTACATTAGTCCACTCACTTCATCACTGCTCTCTTGGTGAAGTATATCTATTGTTTCAAACTGTGGGCAGATCAGCTGTGTTTTCCATACAATCCTGTCATTGGAGGGCTATGAGTGAGTTTTAACAGCACCTCATAGATTTTACTCATCATGTTTGCTTGGACTGCTGTGCTCAGTGAGTCATCCTGGAGCAGGAGACTCCTGCCAGACGTACAAAAGAAGATACCCCACAGAGGAGTCGTATCTTAGAATGATGGAGAGGCTGGGAGCAAGTGAAAAGATGAGATTTACAACAGGATATACTGTGTTTGGTGATGCAAAAGCTTATAAATCTCATGAATGTTCAAATGTACAAGGACAACAAGTATTGGGGAGAGTAGAGGATACACTCAGGTCATATGTCACGGCTGGTGTGTGTTGACTGATCATTAACTCTAATAGTCCTAATAGTTATGTGTTCCTATCCTACACATGTAGGACAGGAGCACATAACTAAGCTCATACCACCACAGTGGAACCCTTGCCTTTCCAGTCATAATGTATATGTAGGTGTTGATTAGCATACATTAGTACAATAGAGCCGTGTGGTTATGGCCGTAGGCCACATCACAGTTTAAGGCTCACCTCCAACCGAGTCTTTGATTTCAATGAGAAAAGGCATCATGTTAAAGATTGTATTGTCTTTGAGTAGCTGTAGTGTATTTGTCATGCTTGGGTCATGGTTGGTTCTGACGTGTGGTAAAATTAGATCTCATTACAATCACATAATGTGATTCATAAAGTATAATTTTTACTCATTCGAACAACAATAATGGCACAATTTAAATGGAATGCCAACAGGGATCAACTGCATGTGGCAATGCATAATGACACTGGAGAATAGAGACTTTTAGAACACATTACAAAACATGTACAAGATGTATTTAATGATCTCATATTCTGGCCCAGACATTTTCCCGCACACAAATACTACAGGCATGTAACAAGCTGCTGCCAACATTTTTATTTGAAGGGCTCCCCATGTGTATCTCTTTATTAAAGTTTTTGGTGGATATTTCAGGTTCTTGGTATTTGTGAATGTAATGTTATTTTGAAAGATTATATTCATTTGTGGTCATATTTAACCCTGCTAATATATTAAGTAATAAAACACCCAGTGTTTATTGCTTTGACTCATCCTAGTGATCACTGAGACACATACTTACTGTTGTTGAAGCTTACATAAGGCTGTGTTCCTGGGGGCTCTGTATTAAATCTCTCCTATGCGCTGCAGAACGGGCTGGGGTGAAGATGCTTTCTCTGTCCTGGCTCCTCGTGGCAGTTTTAGCCCATGTGTGCCACTCCTCAAGAGGCTCCGAATGCTGGGAGAGCTCCATCTGCGCCAACCTGAGCAACAAGCAGCGCATACTGGTGAGTGAGGCCAGTGCACACAAACAGCACAATCACTGACTTCAGACACAATAAAAGTAAATCTAAACTAATAAATATTTAAGAAACATATCCCAGTCCCAATGTTTGTGCAAGTGTTCTTAATTATTAACAGTGTCTATTTTGATATATCAAGAGTTGTCAAATCAAATTACTATAAAAATATGTAAAACTGGGCCAAAAGTGCTTAATGTGCTCATCCACCAACCTGGCTTGCAGTAGTGCATATTGCTGTTGTGTCCTTATGCAAGGCTTTGCATTTGCCTTGCCTAGGTGTGGTCTGACAGAAAAATGCAATGTAAAGCACTGCTGTTATTAGGTAATTATTATTAGGGAAAATAAAAGAAATGTAACCCCTGAAAGTAAAACTAATGGTTAGCCTGTTTAACTGGCCACTTTTCACAAACAGATAGGTAGAAAAAAATCAGATCATCAAATAAAAGAGCAATGTCCCGTATCAATAGAAGTAGGCTAGGAATAATGAGCATTACACCAATAACATGATAGGATTATGGGTAGAATGAACATCCTGGCACAGCTGCAGTAGGCATATAGTATCCTGTTTAACTAATCCAATCCACTTGCAGTTTCTGTGAATCCCTGTTTGTCCCCACGCAGGAGTGCATTCAGGTATGTATGTCTGAGCTGCACAGTGAGAGCCCACAGAGCGCAGATGTTGACGATGCAGACGCGCCTCTCGGTCTGCAGAACGACCTGACCTCCGAAGACCGGACCCTAAAGGCCGTCAGGACGGACAGCCGCAGCAACGAGAGGCGCTCCTACTCCATGGAGCACTTCCGCTGGGGCAAACCGTCCGGCCGTAAACGCAGGCCTGTCAAAGTCTTTGCCTCTTCTCTGGAAGGAGGGGGCTCTACCGAAGGCGTCTCTCCGCTGCAGGCCCAGAGGAGGCACCTCAGAGCCTACGAGAAGCGCAACGGAGACGCGCAAGAAGGACTGCGCACAAAGTCATCGTATACTACGTACAGCCAACAGGAGAGGAAGGACGGGACGTACCGCATGAGCCACTTCAGATGGGGAAGCCCACCTGCCACGAAACGAAACGGCAACTTTATGAAGCAGTGGCAGGAGGAGAAGCCACAGAGCCCGCTGACCAAGCTCCTCAGGAACTTTATGGGCAAAGACGTGGAGAGGATGGTGCGTTAAGTGCGTCACGTGGTGTGGATTATATCTTTTGCATGTTAGTACAGAACATCTGAAAATGTCACTCTCGTTAGTATGTTGTCCTCTGGGCCAAAGATTCTCAACAACACACCCCAAACCTCTGAGGTCAGATAACGATATGGTCAATAAAAGGCAATAGGCATCCACCATCTACCCTGACCGTTTACCCGTGACTTTAAGGCCTTTGTTATATTTTTCTCGTGAATCTCCAGGAATGTCTGAAGGCTGGAATAAGATGAGCTAGCTGTAAATGTACTTAGAGCATATCACAAACATACACTTTATTTACTGTGTTATCTTTTTGTAAAAAGATGCATTAAAAGAAAATATATGGCAAGCTAGTTTATTAGTTGTCATTTTGATATCAGGCATTATAAATTAATGTTGTTTAAACAACTCAAAATATCTTGAGTTCTTCTGCTGATTGAACCCTCCTCAGGAGGAGGTCAGTTCGCCGCTATCATTTATCCAAAACTGAATGAATGACTAAACAATAAAAGTGGGCACAGCGAAGCATGGAGACACTCAGTCATCATCATGAATAGATAATATAGAGTAACAACCACTATTATGAACAGAAAATTCACATAGGGTTGAGACAAAAAGGTAATTCTGTATATTTTGACCTGAATTAGACTGGAGCCCATCCAGATCAGATATGTCATTGACATAGCTGAAAAAACAACTTGACTTATGGGGAAGATAAAATCAACACAAGCATCAATCTTCTCCATTTATTGTTCAACAGGGCAACAGAGCATGCACAGTCGAGTATGACACTCATAAGGCATTTTCTCTTCATCAAAGCTGCCTTTGTCCGAAGTGTATCCAGTTTTTAAAGTGCAAATTTCACAGAAGTATGACCTAAATCACACAACAGACAGTTTTGTAGTTTGCACTTGTGAGGACAAAATAAGGAGGGATTACCTCTCACCATTACATTACACTATGCAATGACAACAGGCAGACACACAGATTTATTGACAAGTTGTTAGAGTTTCGAGCAAACATTACGTGTGAATGCAAAGCTGCACAAGGCTCTTTGTTCACTTGGTCCTGGATCACATGAAAAGTAAGTTTTAAAGTGTAGTTGGATTTTGACACATTTGGACAAACCATCCACAGTCCGACACACACCTGCACTGACAGAGGACATCGCACATGACAAATACTCACAAACATGTAAGAAAATGAAAGAAAAAGTGTTATAAAGGAGATATCAGGGACACATCGGATCATTTCACTGACTTCAAATGTCACAGCCAATGCAGTATTTCACAGAAGAGTCTTTGATCATGACCAGCATTTGAACAGAAAGACACATTTTAGACAGTGTCCACTACTTCTATACAAGAGACAGGCTAAATTATTGCCATCATACTTAGTTTTCATACCTGTGAGTGTGTGTGGAAAAAGACACACAAGTAAATGGCTTTGGGCCTGAATCTGCAGAACAATGCACTGTCTGAAGCTGCAGCAGCAGTTTGGCATAAGAAGAAGAGAAGAGTGCAAAGTTAATCCAGTGTGTAATATGGGAACTCTACAGGTCAAAATGATAGTGCATAGACCTGGACTCACACTACGGAGATAGCTTTTTGTAGAAAATAAGCATTTAAGCAGGAGATGACGTGTCTATCTGTGCTTTTCAACAACTAATCTATCTTTGACTAAATTTGATCATATCATTGGTTGCTGGTTCGATTTAAATAAATTTAAATAAAAATACTTAATGCAGTGGCAGTCTAAAGTGATAGCTAATATACAATACGCATATACACGCAAAACAGCTCTGTACATCAGCTCTAGAATTCATATATTTCTTTGTATATACACATTTTCATGGAAGTGGGAAAATAAGTAACTTTTAACTGTAACATGTAGTAACTATGAAAGGAAAGAAACAAATATTACCAATAAAAGCACTTCTGAATGAGTCTAAAAGGCAAATAATAAACTTAAGAGTTAAAAACACGTGCCCAAGCTTGAAATTAATGCACAGTGCAGAGAAATACATTAACACATATAAAAACGTAAAAAAGTACAAACACTGTAACACATAAAAAGGTATTTGAGACATAGTATGGCATCATTTTAGATCCTAGAAAAATCAAGATCAGTGCTTACAATACTTTTTGTCTGCAGGGCATGTTCAGTCAATTTAAAATGGTAAAAGATAAAAAGAAATGAAATATAATAAATGCAAGTAAATCTTCAGATGTCATGGTATTAAAAGGGTTTGTTGTTTCTGTTTAACATGTAGGTGCATCTAAGGAAATAAATATAGAACAGTTGTAATGTTTTTAATTAAAAAAAGGCTTAAAAACTTATTTAATAAGTAAAATATTTCAAGCATGTATTTTAATTGGGATGATCCAGATTAATTCTATGATAACATTAAATTTAAGATATTTTCTGTAAACCTCAAGAAGTATCATCACAATTAAAATCAATGAATGCTTCACATATTTTACACTGTGTACCAGTTATTTATAACTGAATTTAAGAAAATTAGATTAAGTAAATACAAAATGAAAAACAAATCTTGTGACAACCACTGCCCTGACCCATCGACACTATTGTTTTCCTGGGCTTGTCTGCCGTGTAGGTCATATACTTTGGATGTTTGTTTTTTTTGTCTAATACACACAAAGGTCAGGGAACTTCATTTCATATATGGGAATGGAACGACTCTGTGTTTGGCCATAACCAGATGAAATGGTTCCAGATGGGCTTGGAGGTGGTCTAGACAGAAGAGCACAATAAATATAGTTAGTTATCTTCATGTCAGAACTAATTCAAAACTAAATATTTATGCAGTTTTCATGGAAACATCCAAGAGAACAGTGTGTACCTGATTGTAATCTCAAAGATCTGGTTAAGTTTGCTCTGCAGCATTGTGGCCTAAAACATCAAGACAAATATCAAGTTAAAAAATAAAATAAAAGGAACAATTAATAAATGAACATGATGTATAACATACTCTGGCACCGCAGTGAGCCGCTATCTCTTCAAAAGGAGCTTTCTGAAACTTCTCCACAACTTGTCTCCGACGCTCCCTCTCCTGTTCCTCCATCCCAACACTGTCCACTAGGAGGAGCCACACACAAACTATTTAAATACAGAACTTATGTTTTTTTATACATTTTTCTATCAATGTTACTCTGGCCTACTACTACTGGTGCTACTAATGTCAGAGACAAAACAACAGACTTAAGTGTACATACCAATAGCATTCTTGAGTGTCTCAAATGTGATTTCTTCTGCTGGTGTTCTCTGCATAAATCACAAATAGTTAATATACAAACTCCTATACAAAAACTGGTACAAGTAGATTTTCTGAATTACCTCTTCTTTCTCTGGGCTATTCCGTGACTCCACTTCAACCTGCAGTGAAATTGTTTCCCCAATACTCTTCCTCTTTGACAGACGGTCTTCATCTGTGGTAAGAAAAATGTTTATGTATCAAAATGTATCAAACTTGCTGCTTGATTCAAAACCCTTCCTCACATAGAGACAATGAAGATGTTGGATACAATGAGAGCAAGGGTGGGCAGCATACCAACAATTATGGCATGCTTTATAAGAATCTGATGTAATTTTATCTTAATTGTGTTTCACTTTATAGTTTATTTTGTGTTTAATAAATATCAACCCATTTTAAGTGTCAAATCAAATTGTAGAAACTGAATGTCAGTACACCCAAAAATTCCTGATTCGCAAGAGAAAAATACAATCATATTTGTAAATCTTATTTTTCAAATTCATGTGGCATCAACAAAAGGTGGGACATTCTCTAAATAAGTAGGTAGAGAGACAGGGGCCAAAATAGCTGTGCAGGAAAACCAAAACAGGGCCAGGTGGTCACTCTGGATTACATTTTATATTATCATTGCTCACCCCTTATGTATGTGATTTAATTCACTTGTCTGCAGTGATTATGTAAAGCTTGACTGTCACAGATTCACTTGCCTGACTAGTCAGTCCCTTCTACATTCTGTTAGAATACAGAATCAGAATTGGACCACAGAGTGTGAAAAACCTCTGTCCAACCACAGATGCTAATTTCTATCGCATGTTTCTCAAATGCGGAAGACATTTCCTCTCGAAAATTCTTGTATCATTCAGAACAAAATATACTTCTATTTCTATACTTCAAAATATAATTTCTTTTCCCTGAGATAAATAACAGTTTTGTTGATTCTGCTTCCCTTAAAAAAGACAAAGCCTTGTTTGTTATTACAGGGACAGAGAATGCTTCTCTCTGATCGGTTTATCCGCTTCTCAATCACACCCTCGGAAAGACAGGATACGGTTCCTACTCGTATGTGTAAAGTTTCGTCAAAGTGTGTGGCTGTGCCTGCCCTAGTAACAGATTTACAACCATGAAATACATACTCACCTGTGTACTGAGGCACATAAGGAGTACCCAGTCGCTCTGTATTGTAGCCACTGCCTCCAAGAACCTCAGTGATTTTGGATTGAAGGAACAAAACGTCGGTCTCCACTTTCTCCAGTGAAGAGGGTAGCCTGAAAAAGACAATGACACAGAAGCCATTTCAGTCATATCAACAGTACATTTGGTATTAAACAACATCTAATTTGAACACTACATACTTGGGTTTGTCAATGAATACATCCTCCGGTAAGAGATGGGGGCTTTCCTTTTGCCTCACCTCAATTACCTGTTGATTAAAAAAAAACATTAGTGACATTTTTCACATAAAAAGCTTTTTTGAATGTTAGATGTACTGACCTCATGTATGTGTTGGCAGAATGCGGGGACAGTGGTGAGCTGACAGATGAGGTTGAGGTAGGCGGCCACAAGGGCGTGAACAGCACAGCGGTTATAAACAGGCATCCCCTCATCATTAGACAGAGCTAGGTCCTGAGAAAATAAAAGAATGACAAAATATTGTAAAGAGCTGCTCTGTATAGTTCAGAAGTACTGTTATTCTGGTACAGACATACAAAATGTCCAGACTACAAGATACTTCATTTAAAAGATTATGTTCCTTGTCTGGAACAATACATTGAATTAAGGTCTGATAACACATTTCTTTTCCAAAATTGAAAATGAACTGTACCTAAAACTATGCCTTGTAGAGATGCATTTTTGATATGCAGTCTGTTCATTATCGTGTTAAATAAATCTAATTGTAAGCAAATGTATGTTTTATGTTTATTTCATAAACAAACTCTTAATAAAATTTATATGGAGCCAGTCCCAAACAAATGTGAACCATAAGTTTGCATATGTCTTCCAAACGGTAAATCTCCAGTACAGTTGTGCTGGCTCCTTTTAGTAGGGGGGCCTATTTGAAATGATGACACAATAACATTTTCAAATATTATATGATGTATAATAAATTAGGTCCATACCTGTAAGGCGAGTGAGAGTCGAATAAGGTCCACCACGACCTCCTCATTGGCCAGCTCCACACTGAGCAGAGCCAGCAGAGTGAAGAGGGTCTGGTAATGCTCCCGTCCACTGCTCTGCTCTTTACAGCCCAAGTAGATGTGTCGGTAAAGCTGCTGCCCATGCTGTCACCGCAACACGCAAACAATCATGAGTCACAATGTAGCAACATGTCTCTGCAAATATTAGACAGTTTGAATATGGCAGCATGTTGGTGTTTATAATGTACTTTAATCCATCTTTTTGTAGGCAAGCTTCTTCTGCTAGAACTCCTGTTCAGTTTCCTTTCTTATGGGTAATAATCAATTGAAAGCCAAATATTTCCTAATGTGTAACTTATCTGAATTAAAAGAATCCTGTGTTGAGTTTACCTACATAGTAATTATACCTTTTTCATGAACAAGTTGTCCTGTCGGGAACACTTGTCCACTTTGAGTTTGAGCACAGAGATGTCGGAGATGATACTGCACAAAGGAAATGAACAGTGAAAAACAAACCTAACTCTGTATTTGCTTTACAACCCATTCACCTACCTGATATCAGAGAACTTGGGCCTGTTACTGTGTCTGTCGATGAGGCTAAGCAGGATTTGCAGCACCAATAGCCGCACCTCGGGGTCCTCAGTGAGAGACAGGGACAACAGCGGCTCCAGGAACGAGCTGGGCATAGCAGTGAGCATGTTGGTAGTCTCATAACCAGCTGTTACCTGAAAAAGTGCAGGCGATTTTTAGAAAGTGCAGAAGTGATGGGTTAAGTGCTGCAGAAAATGTGCTAGCAGTGGTCTTTAACATTGTGTGAAAATGTTGCCTATTTTTAACCCTTTTCTCGTCATTAACAAAGCGTGTAGGTTTTAGCAAATACATATTAGCAATGACATTTACCTGCACTAAAGACTTGAGCAACATAACCTGAATCATTCTAGTGCCATCAGGTCTGAAAATAAAAACAGAAACATTATTTAAATTTGAAGACATTTTTGAGAATTTGTAACCTTTTCCTTTTTCTTATAAACTCACCCAGAGCCAGCAGGGGGCAGCGTAGGGTGAAGTCCAGGGATCTTGCCCAAAATAAAAAGCATAACCTCTGACCTCTGGTATGTTGGTAATGTATTGGCAAAAGAGCCTGAAAACATGGAAAAGGTTATCATTACAGCAGACCAAAATCATCTATGTGTATAACGCAGTATTTAAACACATACAGAAAAGAAAATCTTAATATAGGGTTAAATACAGTAAAATAAAGTGTGATATTGCTATTGTGGTCCCTACAGTATGGAATAAGTAGTTTTAAAGATGCATTTTGTAAGTTTTCTGGTGGAGGGTTGTCAAATGCTTTTCTCCATAGAGATGTTATTTTTTTGTCAGAAATGTTTCACAGCATGGCTTTAAACCTTTGTATCGTCATGGAGACAAAACCAGGCCAAACCAAATTACTGGCCAGATCTCTGGAGGGGCAACCCTGCTCACAGTCAGAATGCTTGTTTCTAGGTATTTTTGAGCAGTAAACCCACCTGTAACTGAATAAATGTAAGGTAGACCTGTTTAATGTCATAGCGTGAAACATTCAAAGCAGAGCAATGAGATATCAATAGAAACAAGAAGGTTAAGGACCCCAAAATTTATGAAAAGTTATTGAGGTTTCTTATTGATAGAGGTACATAAACTGCAGATTCACCAATGGTCCGAATGACTGCCTCCTGGAGCTGCCTCTCCTCGTGAGCTTTGATGATCTTGGTGCCGATGTTGGTGTTGCCGTCGTACGTCCCGGTCAGTTCATAATCCACGCTGAGACGGAGCTGCCTCAAGAGGGTGTTGAAGACCTCCAGCACGGTGGGCCCTGGACAAAAAGAACCACTAAAACTGAGCTCCTGTTTGAGCACTCAGACTGTACAGAGAGAGGTGAGAGGTGAGAGGTGAGAGAGGGGGGTAATATGGGCAAGAGAGGGAAGAAAGCGTGGACATAGGGAGGAGGGATGAGAGGGGAGAGAGGAGAAAGAGGACAGGAGAGAGGAGGGAGTATAGAGAAAGGAGAGAGGGGAGGGGGCAAGAGAAGGGCAAGAGTGTGGAGAGAAGAGAGAGGGTAGTAAGAAACGAGAGAGGGGTAAGAGAGGAGACGAAGGAGAGAGAAAGGATTGAGATGGAGGAGAAGAGAGGGGAGAGAAGAAGACACCACTCACCCACAGAGCCACTGGCGGCGATGGCAGCGGCCTCCAGTAGAACCTCCACGATCCCGGCCCGCACCGTGGCAGAGTTCTTACTGTTGGCGTCCAGGTGACCCAGGAGCTGCTGAATGACCAAGTGTGAGTGCTGTGACTGAAAAGAGAAGCAAAAATAAATAAACAAATAATTTAAGAAGCAGAAATACAAGACTTTCATAGCTTTTGTGCAGATGAGAGTGTATTGCATTCAGAAGAGAACTCAGGAGGAAATTAAGGTAAATGCTTAGGTGAATAGTGTGTATAATTTGAATGGGCTATTATTTTGTTTTGTGAAGAGCTGAGTGAAAAGAGCTTACTTACTTACAAACATATACTTAACTTACTTAAGGGTAATTATGCAAGGATACATAGCTATCCGCAAGTTAATACAACTTACCTGGATGGAGTACATGATTATTTTAAAGCAGCGCACTGCAAATGTCTTCCCCTCCCATAGACAGTGGTTATCCAAGTGCCTATAAAGACAAAAGAAAACATTGATCAACTAATTCTGCACCAGAAAACCAAACTAAGCCAAGTTTACTATAGGAGTGTGGTAAAGTGTATGCATCTGCCCTGCTTATGTGTGTGAGTTTGAATACATTGAATACTGATGCCCATCCCTAATGACCCACAATGCAGCATTAATCAAACAGGATCAAGGTCATTAGTTTCTGTGAGCTGTTGTTCCATGGTGTACCTCTGCTGTCGACAAAGGCAAGAGCAGGGACAGAGTGAGACAAATGACCAGAGCACAAACTAGAGAGAAACTCAGACAGTGATGGATGAACAAAGGGCAATCTAATACTAGAAGTACAGGAAAATTCTGAAAATATTCATATAACTTTTCAAAACATTCAAATCAGAAGTTTTTTGTTTTTTTTTTACTAAAGGGTAATTAGAAAAGAGCTACACGTCAATAATTCTTTGTTAGTACTAAAAATGACACTTTTGATTTTATAACAATTCTTGCAATTGGTATCTTCATATGTCGTAGAGCTGCATCAAACAGAACTATTGAATCATGTACTGACCAACTAAGCATATTGTCACAGGGATCAGATCATAAATAGTTTTCTATCATATTGCCCAGTCCAAGTGGGAATACTTGTTTTTCTTATCAGCTTGTATATTTGCTGATTCAGTACTACTGCTACTCTGGGATTATATGCAGCTAGTGCTTTTGAAGATGGAACAAAATAGGTTCACTGAGATTTACTTCTACTGAAATGTGGATACTTCTAGAACAACAAGACACTTACTACAGTCAAGAGCCAGTCAAATCTCCAAAACTTTAGCAGATCAAGCAAGATACAGCATCAGTAAAACTATATAAATTATCTGCTTGTGAAATTAAACATTCAGATCTGATCACTAGCAGCCTTTCTGACCTTGCTATCGACCTTGTTTAAACACCCCACACCAGCTAAATGAATTGATCCAACAAAATCAAACCAATCTATTGCGCTAAATAAGGAAAGACTAAAAGAAGAACAAATTCTTATACAAATAAAACAAAATGGTGGTTGGTCTCACGTGAGCACGGGGTTGACGGCGTTCTTGATGTTGCCATACGCAGCCCGTCCCAGTAACTCTCTGAAGCAGCGTTCTGTCAGCTCCACCGGGCTTTCCTTCTCCTTCTCGGACGCCTGCAGTGGAGAGGGGGAGCGGCTGGAGGGGAGAGGGAAAGATGAGAGGGGGAGAGGAGAGGGAGAGAGGCAGGTGAGCCAGCGCAGCAGAACAAAGCAAGGTGAGGTGAGAGAGGTAGCTCTGTGCCAAAGTGGAGAGCTTAGAATCGGCCTAGGGTTTTGTATAGTGCAGTCTTAGCTCTTTTTACTATTGTGAATGTTGATGTCATTCCTGCAGTTGGGGACAGGAGAGGGATTTCCGCATGGATTAGAGTTACAATATTTACTTATACCATGTTTGTAATAATCATAATTGTATACCTCTCTTTATTCCGATTCTGAAGATTCTAAAGATCACAACATCAATACTTGCTCAAACAGAATTAGATATGTGCACTGTATTATCATTATAAAAATGCATGCTTGATGGAACCCATGATATATGTTTTTATCTTACAATACCAAACCCAAAATCTGCACATTAACATCAGTTTACCTTATTCCCCCATCGCTATTAAACATTGTTGGTTTATAGAATGTTGTGGTGTAACCTTAAATCTGGGAAAATAAAGCGTTCAAGATTGTCTGGTTCTGATTAGTTTCATGTCTAGGCATAAAAAAAAAAACACAAATCTACTTAATATCAGTATACTTCAAAATCCTTGTTCAATCTATTCTCCATTGACTTCTTTGCTCTTGAAATGTCCTTGTCTTGTGAAGTCTGCAGTGAAGATTAAGTGTTGGTGGTAGATCTAGCTTATTGCACATCTGCTGTCACTGTAGGGGACAAGTGGACTGCTAAGTTTGAATTTGCGCAGTTATACGCATGGAGCCATAGCTTTCTTTGTTCTCATACATAGTTAATATTTCTCGCTCCAGCTCAGACAGGACTAGCCTCGGGTGGTCTCCCAATGATGGCATTATTTATGAACTCACCTCCACCTTGACTGCAATGTTAGTGACAATACAGCAGCGTGACTACCAGATGTATTGAGACATAAGCTTTTAATAAAAACAAATTATTTATAAGTATCCAGTTTATTTCCCGGAACTTGCACATAAATCGTCTAAAGCCACAATTTGGAGTAGTGTTCGTTATAATGATGTCCTTAAAGTAGATACAATTACTCAGTGGTGAGCAGGAAGCAAATTAGCAGCCATCACAGTGATTGGACTTAATGGGTCTTTTCCTGACCTTAAGCATTGTTGGGTTCAAAACACAAAACACACAACAGAAACACTTTCACCTCAAAAAAGCTGTTTTAAACTTTTAAACGATGAAAGAGCTTGGGATCAAACGTGATGTGCATCAGCAAAAACAATAAAAGGAATTTAACAAAAGAGCCCTCAAGTTAATAGGTCACTATTAAATAAATACATTCACTACAATCGCACTAATTGCATTACTTAACATCTTTGGACTAAGTAAACAATGTAGGCGGTGTGATAATACAATGTTTAGTCCAAAACCTCTGATCAAATTTAAGACAGTGACAGTTTTTTTCTGATCTTAAGTTAATTCCTAAGTTGTCTTAGTTAAAAACAAGATAGCACAACAGAAACATCAGTAACTACTTATTGATTAATTAAAGTCATGACTCACTGAACAGCCTACTATTTGGACATGAATGGAAGTAACCGTATATTTCAGACAAGTCTTTCAAATTTCCAAAACTTTAGCGAAAATATTCTAAACTCTAAGATCTTATCTAAATGTATTGTTGCGTTATTCAATAAAAGTACACTGAGTGAGAACATATTGGCTGAAGTGCATCTTGCGGTTTGCCCATCTTTCACTGCCTCTTCCTATTAACATCCTCCATTTACCAGCACTCTCCTCTCTATTATCTCGTCCTGAGCCAATCTGCCCCTGTGCCGCACTGTGCCCTCCTCCTTTCTTCACCCGCGCCCTCAGATCTCAGCACTGACGTCAAAGAGAATCTCAGTACGTGGACAACAGCCAAGAAATAAAACCCCAAGTTTAGACTATATATCGCTTTTACAAATTTACCCCACTTTACATCATTATTTCCTTCACGGTTTTTATGACACTTTAGTTGAATAGCAAAGAGTGCAGCTCTGGTAAAAATAATATTATGTTATATCTTCAAAGATGCATCAACTAAATATTTTTATTTATTTATAACCTGCAGACACATTTCCTCTTTTTCAAGTTGAGATACTGACAAAGTTTGCAGTGTTTACATAACTGGCACAACCACAATGAAAACATTTCACATAAGCTCTGGCCTTAAGGTTTGGTGTCAGTACATAGTATAACAATAATAAAGTCTTATGCCAGCCTCACTGTTGTACACTGGATTCCTGGTTCTAACATTTAGCTCAATGTCTCTCTCCATTATTCAACCACATTTCATACTAAAAACAAGAGTCCCATCAGTACATTTCTTTAAACTAACCATGATTTCTTGTTTTGGGGGTAAATTTCACTTTCTCAGTTTTGCTAAAGCAACAAACATATTGTGTTAGCTATAACGGACACTGGCCTGGAGTGCTTATCACACAAAGATGCTCATTTAAGAATGGTCTGTTTTTACATTGTCAAATGTGTCCCAGGGTAAACAGGGGGACTGGAAGATGCTGAAATATAAGTGTTATTGTTGAGTTTCCTCTGATGATGAAATTAAGACTGATGTGTCTGACACTTAGTTACACTCTCAGGACAATTGTAGCTTAGCATAAACTAACACGAACAGCTCCATGACTGTGGGCAGTGTGACCAGAGCCATGGCATAGCGCCCACACTGTTTTTATGGGTCATCACCGTTCACACCGCAAGCAACATGGCCCCATTTGAACATATTATAAAGAGGACAGAGCTCTTAGTCATGTGCAACAAAAATATAGCTTGGTTTATAAAGTCTCACCTCTCTGTACGCTCTCCACTCTGCAGGTTGAACAGAAGAGATGGCACTATTTTGTCCATGTGCTGTGGGTCCCAGATATTCGCCTGGAGTTCGTCATTTACAGTCTTCCTCACTACGCCTTGTAGACCTCTGATTCCAGCCATTCGAATGCTTTAAACAAAAATATGTTTAGAAACTGGAAATAAAAATACATGACAGTTTTATTTTAAGCACTTCACATTTTGACTTATATTAAACCAAGCTTAGATGTTTGCACCTATTTTTGATTCAAAAGGGATTTTATTTTGTAACACTTGCAAGCTTGGAAACAAGAACACTTGTGTAAGCCAGTCAAAAATAGATCTCCCTTAGTAATGCCATTGATGGATGATTAAATGAACTCACTTTGTGCGGATATCAGGGTCCTCAAAACTGGAGTGACACATTTCACTGAAACGCGACACAAAGAAGTCATAGCTGCGGTGGTATGAAGGCGTGTCCTCTTCTATGTTGGCAAACTTCACAAACTGACCAAAAAAAGAATTCCATTATGAGCCAGATAACAATGACATTTAGAGAGCAGACTGTAAATAGCTCAGGTGACATAACTGTACAGTCAGAATCTAAATTGTAAATATATCTGATATTTAGTACAGTGCCATAACATGTCATTTGGATTAAAAGCAAAGGACACGAGGAGAGGTCTCCCGCTGTGGCAGAAATGTCACCATTTAAACTGAGTGACATTTAGTCACTTTAATAAATGATGAAGATGAACTTCAGAGATAATTTATGTTATTTAACTGTAAATTCATTCAGAATTATTAGAGCACTGTGCCAGTATAAGCAACTTCCAAGAGGTCTTGGTAAAACTATATCCTATCAGCACTTGGAGTGATTCTCAAATTAAATTAAATGCTCTTGAGTAAAGCCATAAGGGCTTCTCCTCAGCCAAAGTAATTTACTGCTGCAGCAGATCCGGAAGAGGCCTGGCATTACTGTCAGTATCAGAGCTCTGTGAGAGTTCAACATGCAATTTCTACATGTTCTATATGCAAACTTAAGCCTGACTGAGAGCAAAGGATAAACACATTTTAAATGACTACTGTCTATTGGGTGATATACTCTCACAGCATCGTGCTTTCTAACATTATAAGGATGAGAACAGGGAGATTAGGAGTGACTGAGCGTCTGTGCCATCTGTAGCAATGACTTCACAGTTCTCCCAGTATTTAATCTGATGTCTTTATTCTGTTTGCGCCCCAACCAAAAGCAGAACTTACACTTTCAAAAAACAAATACAACTTCAAGAATGTAAATAGTTTGCATAACAGGTCTGCTTTAAAAGTTATGTTAAGTTATAATATCTCACAGTAGGAAGTAATCTGTTGAAGGAGTTGAAGCTATTTAATGTTTTCTAAGAACCAAACACAAAATTTACCGAATTGGTTCCTAGGATTTGCAGACTGGGCTTGTCTGACTCTAAAAGCTTTCGGACCATTTTGAGGAAACTTTCCACGAACAAGTTGATGCTCTGGCAGTGACAGGCCATTAGCAGCTGGTCCAGAGCCTCCATGGCTATGCACACATATCTGAGAGACAAGAAAACAACAGAAAAACATTGAGTGCACATTGAAAATTAATAACACTAGCCATTTGGTGTTTTGGTGATGGTGGTTCTTCTTTCATTTGCATGTGAAGATTTGATAGCTGAACAGCTTTGGTCTGAGCCTGCCAAGTGTAAATGTAATCTGCAGCGGATGGGCATCTCAGTGTGGCCTGGCCATGAGTCACTCAGGCCTATTGGGTGCGACAAGAACAGGCTTGTTGGTTCATTGTGATCGATTGGGAAAAGGGTCTTTGGTGTATTGCTAATTAAAGAAGTGTTGAGTACTCCATATGTCTGCAGTGTTTAAAGTAGGAGTCTATTTTGAGAGGTGAGTGACAGTGTCTCACCCGTATCTGTGCCGAGCCACGTCCCTGGACAATCTCTCAGACAGGTACGCCCCGATACGGTCCAGTTTCTCCGGAGCTGACAGGGCGTAGAATGTCAGCTTCTCCATGTTGGCTTTGACTAACCCATCCTGACAGATACAGAAAAGGATAAGAAGAAAGTTTGAAATGTTATGCTTATATGGAGTAAAGCAGCTAAAATGTTTGAAAATGAAGGGTTCAATGAAGGATGAAGCCCACATTATAAGTAGAACACATGACCCCCTTGTGCGCCCTGTCTGCCCTACTTATCAATATAGAGGGGTCAGGAGCAGCAGAGCGCTAAAAGGGTTTGGATGAGATTCAAAATCTATACAATAAACTAGGGATGGGCATGATTAATCGATTAATCAATAATTGATCATTAAGAAATTCATCGATTACGTTCATTTTAATCGACAAACCGAATGTAGGTTGCTGTGCGTAGCGTGACCAAACAGGGGTCCGTACATGTAGCTCGCTGCACTCAGAAGGAGCGAGCAAACACAAACAGTCGGTCAGTCTGCAACGCAAATGTGTATTTAACGATGAGTTGTACAAGAAATTCCACGCTTTCCGTTGCGTTCGGGACAAGTGTGAGTCCATGTGCACAGTGTACAAAGCAGCACATATGTTTCGGTGTCCAGTGGGAAAAGGTTTTACCAGGTGAGAGTCGCGCGATGACGAGGACCCACCTCCACCCCCCGTACGGTGTCCTGGTTTTGACAAACGTAAATATGGTCACACTAACCTGTATTCCACTGAATCATGTCTTTTAATCCAACAGAAGTTGACCGCATCAGCGCACAAGAGCTGTAGTTTTATCTTCGCTTAGTTTATGCAAATTAGCGATGCGGTTTTAAGTTTCGTTTCTGTGAGAGTTGCGCAAAACTGCATTAAACACATTATAATGTCAAACGGATTGATTTGGCTCTAGAGTCGTTACGGTTTATATGTTGTAAAGTTGAATTTATTTATGCAGATTAGTAGTGCATGTAATAATGATGATCATTTTAATATAAACACGTTAATGATTAATCGATAATCGATCGTTAATTCTTCCGACGATCGATTAAGAAAATTTCATCGAATGCCCATCCCTACAATAAACTATTTTATTTGTTGCTATATTTTAGCCAAAGTAAACTGATTAAAGGTGATAGCATTTGAAGACATTTTCAACCAACAAATAGTAAGTACAACGTATTTACTTTTACAATTTTACAGAACCAGAAAGAGAGAGGATATCAGACTAGTACTGAAGTCTCTGCACTGGTTTCCTGTGAGCTTCAGGATAGATTTTAAAGTACTTTTATTGGTTTACAAAGCTCTTAGTCTTATTTATTTATCTGATCTGCTGAATAGGAGTCTTCTCAGACCTCTCAGTCCCTCAGGTCCTCAGGTAGTCATCTTTTAAATGTCTCAAGAGCCCAGAGACTCAGGGTGAGGCATCATTTAGTTTTTACTTCTTCTTTTAATTTTGCTTTTTCATTAACTGGTTTTATACCACATAATTCGTTTTCATCTTTTTATATTTATTCATATTACTTGGGTTTTTACAATGTATGTATTTCACTTCGTGTTTTTTTTTTTTTTTTTAAATCTGTATGATATTTTAGAACAGGGGTGTCAAACTCATTTTTGGTCCGGGGGCCGTATCCAACCTACTTTGATGTGAATGAACTCATGTCATATAAACCCCAAAAATAACAATAAGTTAAAATATAGCTGCAAGCGGCAATGATCGGCCCTCGCGCGTGCTTACGCCGTGCCCCGCAAACGCCGCGCCTCACATTGACCCTAAACTTAAGGTTTAAGCCTAAACTTAAACCTTAACCCAATCATAATCCTAACCATAGCCCCAACCCTAGCCCTAAAAATTTTCATCTAACTCTGCAATTTTCAAAATTTGGCAAAAAAAAAATAAAATCCAAGATGGCGGACTTCCGGTTTGTAAAGGGGCATGGTCACAATATACATTTTTGTTCTTATTGCCATGGTGCATCTGGCTACCAAATTAGGTTTGGCTACGCCAACGTTTGTGTAAGGACGTCCCATTGGCAAGGATACAATTTTGGCTTGTTGCCATGGCAACACAATGTAAATGGGATGTGAGCATCATTGAGTTTTTTAATCGAGACCATGTCACAAATGTGAATACCAAATTTTGTATATCTGTGACAAATAAAACCTTCTTTTTACATACAAATTTTCTACGGGGCGCTATTGCACCCATTTTTGTATTTTCTTACATCAATCTGTTCAGGGTCGGGGTGTGAACTCATGATTAAAATTTGAGTGAAATCGGCCAAAGTTTGTGCAAATTATCAGGCGTCAAAGTTTGATGGTGAGCCCCAAAAACTAACCCGAAATTTGCGTTGTTGCCACGGCAACACCGTTTGACCTTTTAAAAAGCTTTTAACAACTTTTAATGTCCCACTTGTCTAGATGATACAGAATGATTCTGTCTGGGTCAAACGCGAGGACGAGTTCGTTCAAGTACGAGGACAGGTCGCACCATCAATCCAATATGGCCGACTTCCTGTTGGTTGCCTAGCAACCGCGTAATATACTTTTTTGTTCCTATTCCCATGATGCATCTGTGTACCAAATTTGGTTTGGCTACGCCAAAGTTTTTGTTGGGCATCCTATTGGCAAGGGCAGATGTTTAACCTGTCACCATGGCAACACGATGGGAAATGGCATGGGGTCGTCATTGACTTTTTTGATCAAGACCATGTCATGAATTTGTCTACCAAATTTTATATGTCTACAATGAAGTAAGTTTTTCCACTACCATGCAATTTCCCTAGGGGGCACTATTGCGCCCATTTTAGATTTTCTTATATAAATCTGTTCATGGTTGGGGTGTCAATCAACAATTAAAACTGGAGTGAAATCAGCCAAAGTTTTGTGCCAGAATTTGTAGATTTTTCCAATGGATAGTTTATGTCATCGCTATGGCAACGCAATAAAAAATATGACATGGGTGTTACAGAATTTTGTATTAGGATGCCAAAATGGAATTTTGTGCAAAATTTCAGAAATTTTTGAACAACTATTTGGGAACAAATGATTTTCTTCCATAATAAAATTAGTTTCAATCTATAGGGGGTGCTAATGCGCCAAATTAATCATTTTCACATTACGTAGCTTCAGGGCAGAGGGTTTAACAACTGTTTCAAATTTCATTGAAATCGGAGTTCGTTTGAGCAAATGGGAGCAATTTGTAAATCTCCTAAATTGTGTGCATTATTTGTTGCTTCACTGCTCAGAGACCGTAAGACGTGTGTGAAAAATTTGGATAACTTCTGATGTTCCACGTCTTCAGATAATGTGGACCAAATTTGAGCTCATTTGGGTGAACGCCCTCGGAGGAGTTCGTAAAAGCTTAGAAAATTTTAAGCCAATATTGCTGCCCCCTAGTGGAGCACACGGTGTTGGTGTAATAATATTTTTTCCTTGTCTTGACATGATCGACTTCTGTGTCAAATTTCATGATTGTACGTGCAAATTTTTTTTTTGTGTCATTCGTATTCCCTAATGCATTTTTGAATGGAAATAGCCAAAACGTAGGGAAGCGCGAGTTTTACCAGATGGCAAAATTTCAGGACTTTTTATTATTGTTTAGTGGGTGAAAAATGGGTGAGTTGGTTAGGAGAAAAATAATAATAAGAAAGAATAAACTTCTGATGCGAGAACAATGTTCCGCTTTTTTTTGGCCGACAAACTATACATTTTCGGAAACCTCAGATGCATTGCTACGTGATGGCGAGGGTCCCTGGTCACTACGGGCGAGTCACGTCGCACCATTCCATTTTTCGGCCACTTGGAGTATCACGTGATGGCGAGGGTCCCTGGTCACTACGGGCGAGTCACGTCGCGCCATTCCATTTTTCGGCCACTTGGAGCATCGCTTTGCGATACTAATAGGCCCTTCGCCAGCCTCTGGCGCTCGGGCCTAAATATTGGTGCAGAGAAACACAAATCTATTACAGAAATCTTTCTAAATTGATGAACTCTTTCTTTTACAAAATATTATAATATTATGAACAACCTGAAACTTTAAGAAAAATACAATTTCAACACAATATTTTTACATGAACTTGTTTGCAAATAAGAGTAAGTAAATTTTTTGGAAAATCCTGCACTCGGCTCCACTTTTCTCATTTTTGACATTTTGCTGATGAAGGTGTCATGGTCAACAGTCAAAACGATCGTCCTTTAAGAGCGTTTGGAAAGAGACATGTCTTCATTTGTGCTGCTCTGGTGGGAGGGGCCACGCACAGAGACGCTGGAGACGCTGATATGATAAACACTGCAGAAAATTACCAATATTTTAATAGAAAATATAATTAAAATATTTTAGTAGAAAATCAGCCGAGGGCCAGATTAAAGGTCTTGGAGGGCCGGATCTGGCCCCCGGGCCGTATGTTTGACACCTGTGTTTTAGAATATTTTTAAATAAATTTTCTTTTCTTTGATACATAAGGGGAGTGGCGCTTTACACTACATTATGTATGTAAGAAAAGTGCTACACAAATCAAGCTTTCACTGATTGATTGTAACACCTATATTTAAGAATTACCATCCTCATCAGATTACAGGACCTGACTGAAGAAAATGAGTTGAAAGCCTATTAGTCTATGGGCACGTGTTTATCTCCAGAGTATTTGAGTGAAAAGGGAAATAGCTCTGTCAGCCAATGAGGAGACTGCAGTTTGAATAAATAAGTGTTTGAAGAGCTTCCTCACAGATTTACTTCATAATTATATTTTTTTATATTTATTATAAATTTTTCAAACTTCAGCACTGTATGATTGCTTCCCCAGAAAAAAATTATTTACAAATATCTTGCCTTTTTATAGATAAGGGACCAACTTAACAATTTCATAATATTTCATAAATAAAACTGAAAAAGAAAGAGTTACATAGAAAACAGATGCACTCATTCCCATTCCCCCATGCAATCAAGGCCCCAATACATAAAGCACCCTGGGAGTTACAATCTCATACAAAAATTAGAGGCACAATGATTTTCTGCATTGAGCTGCCAATTGGCTGCAGATGTAAAGGGAAAAGTAGGTTACTGCAGTACTGCACTTCAACAACCACTGACAGCAACTACTAAGAAGCTGTTTCATAAACATACATTAAATATTTCACAAACATTATGCGAGAAGCAGTTTACCTCTGGGTCTTCTGGGAAAATGTTGTCTACGAGCCGCTTGTACCTGGGCCTGAGTGCCCCACAGCAACCACAAACTCCTGAAGAGCAGGAAAAGACAAAGAAGTCAATTAAAAACAAAGTGACGTATAACTTTGTTTCAGGCAGAAATCCAGCAGAATGTGAAGGTTATGCAACCTGTACAAAATCACATCTTTCTATATTGGCAATGTTTAAAGATGCACTATGTAACTTTTTGGGTAGGGTGTCCTTTAAATGCTTGTTTTGATTTTAATGGATTGCCTGGAATGTTTTGTTTTTTTAATTACAGGTGTTTATGTTGCTCAAAAATACATAGAAAAACTAAACTGATATTATTTCTTCTATTTCCTGCTCCATTTATCTGACCTAACATCCTGTTTGCATCACCTGCTTGTCTCAAACACAGAAAAGTTAAATACCATATTGTGGAACATTCCAAGCAGAGCAATAACATCTCCATGGAGACAAGCAGGTAGCAGATCATCCTTTTCCATCACAAAAGTTATTTAGTCTACATTGAAAAAGTAATTCAAGGCAACTTTCTTTCCAGTGTAAATTTTTTTCCACTTATGCACCGAGCTAAAGCTATGCCTCCAGTGAAATCATGACTCTGATTGGTCAAGAGACTTCAGCAGCGATGAGTCATCAGCAGACCCCAGGAGAAACGCAGCCAAAAAGAGTCAAACGTCTTCAAAGAATTATATAATGTTCTTTTCATGACACTTTCAATGCAGTGGACATAGATATATGTTTAAGCTTCAGACATTCAAAACACAAAAGTAGGTCACTGCGCTGTCACCAGTGTAGCCGAATGGAACCAAATGGATGACACTCAGCACATAGAAAGAGAATTGTGTTGGAAGGAAAAAAGTGCTCTGAACCCTCTGCATTCTTATCTAAATGAAGGCAAAGCAATTATGACAATGTATTTGAAACTAGGGCACGCAATCCCAAAAAAATGTAGCAAATTTGTGAATATTAAAGGAGCCTGTATAATTTTTGCTTAACCTTGTAAATAACCAGTCATTGCCTGGGTTTTTATCCTAGGTCCATCAGATTTATTTAGTTAAAATCCAACATACTTCAGAGATAGTACAACCACCAATCAAGTACTTAAAAAATATCTATCCCTATATCTAGATCTATATCTAGATCGATAGATAGATAGATAAAAACTGAAAAAATCTGATACATATAAAAATGCTTGATACTTGATACTCTTGTTTCAAAATTTCTAGTAATTTCAAAACAATATAAAAATGCACATTTTTATACAACATAATGAAGAAAAAAAATTTATTTTATTAGTTCTGCTAAATATCAAGTCAATTGTAAAATTCTACATTGAACTATGAAGGATTAGACAGTCTTATTCAGGAAAAGTTCAACTCTGCACTTTTGAATAGTTTAACAAGTCTTCAGCATAGTCTTACTCACTTACAGTCTTACAACAATACAACTATACAAACATGTTCTATTCTAGTTTATTTTCCACTTTTGCACATATATTAATGTTATGGAGGTGTTGTTTGCTGAAGCTTTCTTGGCAGCCAGTCCTATCTGAAAACTGTCTATTCATAGCCCTTCTTCTCCATCACTTCACACACTAATGAAGCTGTTACGCCGCTCCCACGCTCCCCTCGTATCAGAGGAAACACCAAGGAACTAATGACAAAGTAGGAGCAGACAAATGGAGAGCAATTATAGGTAAATGATACAACAACCTGATATGTAACATGTGCACATTTGAGTGCTGTATTAACATTTGAGACCAAACTGAAATATGAACAGTTAAACTAAAGGAAACACATGTATTTCAGAACATATTTGTAGTGAGGGTGTAACTACATGGTTAGAAGTGTTTTTGTATGGTAAAGTGGCATAGACTGGAGTGATACCCAGATGCTGACACCAAAACTGATATTGTTTAAAAGGTTTACTCGCTTTGGCAAGTATCTATACTGAAATATCACATAAAGGCAAACTTGGACATTTCCATAATAGTTTTAAAAAAGTTTTAAAATTATCTTGATAATATCTATACCTATATCACATCTAAAGATAACACAAAATATTATTTTGTTTCGAAAATTGTATTCTTTTGTCTTAAAAATCATCACTAGAGGATTAAAATTGGTATAAACTACTGAGCCCCTTTCCCCAATATTGAAATGAATTTTTTTTAAATCATTTTTGTTATCACACTACAATGATCATGGGCATAGCTCATTGAAAGTATAAGAACATGCACTCCTGTAAAATCTGATCACGATTTTGTGTTGTGAAACAGATGTAAAAAGCAGATTTGTACTCTGTCAGTAATAACAGGATTACTTTGAAAACAGCAGTGAGAATGACAGAGGTGAAGAGCGTGAATAGCAGGGGGTCTCACGACAGCCACCCACTCTGCATGAAGAGGCTGGACTCAGGGCTCTTTCCACGTCACACATAAACCCACACACAAGGCTGCTCGCGGCACACAGCTGAGCACTAAATCATGGGTGTTAGTTAGCAAACAGAATAAACAACAACAGTAAAGGGGTGGACACACATGTAGGCACTGACACATATGGATGGGGTCCACACCTCTCAAACCACAGCAGCTAATCACATGGCTATTTTTATCCAGCCGACAATGGGATGGGTACATTAACCGATTACAAACTGCATTTTCACCTGAACTGCAGCTTAGCGATTCCACATTAGGGGATGAAGGGAAGTGTTTCAGATGGAGGCCAGGGGACTATATAACTCCATGGCCAAGAAATATCGAATTTTATGATCTACAAATATTATTTTTAGCTTTATTATTTGTTAGGCATTGGATCCACAATCCTGCTATATTAATGTTATATCTTAAACCACTATAAACTGACAACAATCACATCATTTTGGTTGAGTAATGGCACCAATTTCTGACACTATTGTAAAAAATGTTAACTTTTGGTTACTTATGCTGGCAGAGTACACCTACTAAGTACAGGGATAGAGAGACTTGTCCTCCAACATACTTTTAAACTGTAGGGTTTCGAGAATCCTGTGATGTCAACCTATTGGCAAAAAACATAATGAACAGAATGAACAGAAAAGGTCATTACATGATGTTAGACTAGACAGGATATGGTGTATTTTTTAGTTTATTAAATAATTGCTAAACCCATTTTCAAACATCTACACAAAAGGGGATGTTTATCTGCTCATCACCATTTTCACAGTTTTGCCGTTTTCAATAAATTAAAAACGGCCCTGCAAGAGAGCCATTATAGGCTATTTTGGGCTTCTGCAGATTCATGAAGAGCATAGAAGCTCATTCAGTGTAATTAAGTTTCCACATTCAGACACAACACTGAGTTTAATTAGGAATACAGTGCCAGTTGATTTAGGCCAACAGTGTACTTTATTATAGGGCTATATATAAAGTCCAATATAGAATAGAAGGGCAAGCTACTGTTGTAGTCTCATATCTGCACCTGCTGTTTGTTTAAAGCCGCTTTGTTGTTCCAATGGTCACATGTGCACAGCCTAAGAAACCTGGCTGTAAGTGCATTATCTGACATATTTTAAAGGATTTCAAAGACACCCAACCCTCAGCTTTACTGGAAGTCAAATTACATCAGCAAAGAAAGACTACTTCATTAAATAGTGAATGAAAAACAGAAAATTAGAAATTAGGATGAATTAGGAAGTCTACAATGCATTCGGTGGGTTTATTACATAAGAGAGAGGACAGAAGACAGGCCAAGTCTATTCTTACCCCATGCCACAAACAAACACAAAATATCTCTTGCAATAAACTTTAGATTGAGACAGAAAGAGGCAGCTGGAGGATCATTTTTGAGCAAACAAAATCAAACACAAGCAGATGCACAAGATATCACAGTCTTGTGCGCTTTGTGAATTGGTCAGAAGGGGGGAAAAAAATGAATGTTACAATATTTACTAAACCACTATGCTATACTAAACTAACTATACTGCTAAAAGTGACTGCAATGGCATTCTTTTGCAACATATTGCTCTTGCTATAGATTAGTTTATGCGTGCCGTTCATCTTAGCCTGCCAGATGCAAGCACTGATCTGATCCCGTATAGGTAGCTGAATACACGACTGATATAATACACGCAACAGAGATGCACGGGTCGAGTCACCAACAAATCCTCATGACATATGACCCAACAGCACTCTATGAATCACAGCCAAACAGGCAAAACTGCACTAAGAGGCACATGGATATTGCACATAATCAATTTTAATTTACAAATTCAGAAAAAAGGCCCAACTCTGCTAAAGCTTTCAACTGTTAACAATGCTGGCAGCTCATGTCTATCGAAAGAGCAAAGAGAAGCAGAGTCCTTAATCAATAGCAGTCCCATACATCAAACTGTCCCAGAAAAACTAGCATACTAGGGCATCAGTAAAGATCACAGTTCACTTGGGGATGTTATCACAACACAACTTAGCACAGATAGCAATTTTAAGTCACAATAAGAAGAGATCAAATTACCAAAAATAAACATTGTAGTAGCTCCTTGTCAGTCAATTCAAAATATAAAATGGCATCGCATGTGTTCCCATGGAATGCTTGCAAAGACTAGACAGAAAAGGTCCCACACAAGGAAAAAGAAAAAAGGAATGTGGTGTTACTGGTTGGCTACTTTACATTACTCACATGCTTACAAGACAGCAGCAATGACAAAAAAAAAAAAAAAAAAAAAAAAAAGAGGCAGATATCTTACCGTACATCGATCGTGATGTTGTGGTTGCTTTTATGACTAGACGTTTATGCTTCTCTGATGCTGCAGCCAGCCACTCATACAAAAGCGCACACGCAACTAAACAGCGCTTTACGGTATGGATGTTGTGCACGTGTGCCCGGGGCTAAAAACCATATGACTGAAAAGCGTGATTGGTGCAGAGCGGAAGGTTTTTTACTCGCTCGCCTTGCGCTGCGAGCCCACGTCACCGGGAAGCGTGCCGTCGTGGTGACCTTGGATTTTCCCCGTGCGTCTCCAGCAGCGCAATTTCTCAAATAGGACCGAGTTGGGAGCGGGAAGGAGAGGAGAGGAGAGGGGGGAGGCTGGTTGTGTGCAGGTTCACTCACGCCCCCTCCGCTTCGTCCAATCATTTTCACCGTGTAGCCCCTAAGACACGAGACACGGGGAAAACAGAAGGAGACGCGCGCGCGCTACGGGGAGAGAAAAGACCTCCCTCCCACGCAATCTCCGCTCCCCACGCCGCCCCCCTTCCCCAGCCCTTCTCTCGGCATCCTTCTTTCCGCTTTTCCATCATTAATCTCCCTGGGCCTGGTGTTTCGCTGCTGGACGGATCATCAGAGAAATGACTTGAGCTGAAGAGCCTTTGATTTTGTGTTCCTCATCAAAACATCATCACAAAACAATGTTAATTAATGTCTTGCTTTATAACTAGATTACGTAATTATGTTTGCAGAAAACTATCATTTGTTTAACCGACAACAGTGATGGGAAGAATACTTTGAAAACGTATTTCGTTACAGAATGTTATCCCGATTGAAAGGTATTTTCTATATTCTGTTATCAGAGTAGACTGTATTCTGAACACAGAATATGTTTACAGCGCGTTGCACATCACAGTGCGCAAAACATGAGATATAATTAAAACAGTTTCATTATTGTTGCAGTTTGTAATTTATGTCGAAATTGAGAAGGGAAAAATCGCACATACCCTCATCACAAAAACTGCACTTTCTCTTTCATGGTATTCACTAATACCATGCAGCTCAAAGCAAAAATTACATGATGAAATTCCACCATGTATTCCTTTTAATTTAGGAAAGTAACTTGATTTTGAATTCCATCAGATGAAAAAAGTAACTGTACCATAATACAGTTAATCAAAATCAGTACTTAGAATATGTATTTTTGGTACATATATTTAGTTACTTCCCAACACTGACGGTGAAAGTCTTTGTCTAATTTATAATTTTATCTACGTTGATAAATTCAATTAGTTGAATTCACTGCAAAGCTGTTTCTCACAAAACCCCGTAAAAACAATGGATGATAACACGGACATTCTATAAATGTGTGCCTTTCTTTTTATTAATAAGTAATTGACAAAATAAAACTGACACAGACCAGTGTCTAAACATAAGCCACAATTAATGGCAAGGCAAACGAAAATGTGTCACAAGTCTTAAACCTAGTGCCATAAAGACCATACTATTTTAGTATGGTCTTTATCAGACTCATACAACTAAACACTTAAACAAAGACTACAAGCACTCTGCACAGACAGACTGGAAACTTGCTGTTATCACTTACTCTTGCCACTGCGATGGTCCAGAAGGGTACGGCAGTCCAGTGCCAGCCTCTGAGTGGCTGGGACATCAGGCGCTGGCAAAGGCATAGTAGACAACTCTCCATACAGCAGCCCACTGAGTACTCAAATGCACAATATGCTACAGTGCGAAGCAAACAACTGTTACCAAAACTAACTGTCCAAGTAAGTCTAAAATCACAAGATGGTCCACAGTTTGTCACAACTAAAGGTTACAGCTCACACAACACAATCTATTCTCAAATTATCCTCTTTCAATCAGACACAGCAAAACAACTTCTAATGAGGCAAGAAATAAGTCCTTCAGCTAACAGTGCATCTTTCCTGAAATGTCCGAGGTGGTAATCTATATTAATACAAAGGCTATATCTGGAAAGAGATTAGCGATTAGAACATCCACTGCAGCTCTGCTCTCTGAATGCCTCTTACTCATTAATAAACATCTCACTAACACAAAGGGTCCCACTATACACCCCCTGTGCCCCTCTCTCTGGACATGGGACAAGCCAACCACAGTAAGGAACAGGGTGAAACGGGACAACAGGCGACACATAGGAATGACAGCCACTGTGGGTTTGGGGTTTGAGGAATGCACCCAGTGGAGATACCAATGGCAGAATCTGGTAAGTTATTTGACATTATAACAGAAAAATACTTTTAACAAATAACAGAAACATACAGTAATTGTATAGTATTAAACAATCATATGTATGACGGTTGTAACATGGTTGTATGGTTGTGCTTAATAATGATATTTACAAAAACATATGCCAAGACATATGATACAAAACAGTAGGGGTGGGACAAGACGAAACAGACCCCGAGATAAGGTCCATGAGAACGAGATAAGATGAGATTTTGGCATAATTTGTAATAAAAAAGTAGCGCAATACATTTCACAATTTTGGTTTTACTATTTTTATGTATTTTATACCTTAGCGGTCATTGTAATACTGCTTTTTGGAACTACAGCTTCTCAAATTGTGTAACTCACCAGTTCTTAACTTTTTTTTATCCAAGCCAAAGGTAAAATCTGAGGGAAAAAAATCTAGATAATTTTTCTCATGTGTGCACGACCTTGTAGCAATTTTGTCTCGTGAGATCTTGTGGCCCGAGATCTTGTCTCATCTCTACAAAATATCTTAAAACTGCTGAATAAAGGCTAATGCAACAGTTTAATTATTTTTTTAAAGAAAAGTTCAACCTGTTTCAATGCAAAACAGTGACAGTGACTATATTAGCATTCACAAAAAAATCTGATCATTTCTGGAGTTACCGAAAAAATTACATCTGTTTACACATGCACACAAGAAAGCTATGCAACAAAAGGTAAAACTAAGGTGGCTAGGACAAATATTTAAGAAAATTCATGAAGACTGAATTAGTTATTTTAATATTGTAGATTGTAGACTACTTTGCTTTCCAAATAGAACAATGAAAAAAAAAAAGACTGATTACCTGACATGTTTCACCAGGTCCTTATAATGAAATTTCCTTTGTGCATGTAAATGATTGCAGTTAGGTCAGGATTAGGCCAGGATTAGGCTGGGATCAGATTTTACTGCTCATGTAAATGTGCCCAGTGATGGTACATACCTGTCATGATGATTTATGTCCACAGGGCGGTGCTGCTTCTCCAGGTTCCCGGAGAGTGACTCGGCGCACAGCACAACGCCCCGCAAAGTGTCTCCTCCGGGGCTTTGTCAATCAGGAAAACCCCCGGACTATCTTTGGCCTACGGAAGTGAGTTAGCACAGCCAGTTTAGCGAAACCAAACATTTACTCAATTACAGTATAAGCATCCCGCTACTTCTCTATTTTTTTTATAATAAGCTTTTGTCACACACAGTATCTTAAGATTATAACACAGTAGCTACTTAAAACCATAACGTTATATCAAGTTATAAGTAATCTGGTAAATATAGTGTGCTAACTTGGTATTGATAGTCCTGTTGATCTAGCTAACCCTTTTAATCATTTCTAACTTGATTTAAGCATTTAGACTACAAGTGTCTTAAAATAAAAAGAAAATTACAACCATGTACACGACCAATATAAAACGCGAAAAACGAGTTTGTTTAGACAGAACTAAGCAACATGCTAACATGAGCTAGTGTGCACAGTGCTTTCTGTCAACGTCAATCACTGTCAAAATACGACATGTTTCACTTACCATACAAAGGAAAAAGGTTAGGTCCTTAACATATTTGGCATGCGGACAGTGAACACAGTGCTCGGGTCAGACCAAAGACCAGTGATCATTAAAGCTATGGAGTAGCCTCAGGTGCTATCAGCTGCCACTACTGGCTGCTTGTGTGAGGAGCCAGACAGAAAAAGACTAAAGAACCAACCCAGTTCACCATGGACACATTGGTACAACACCCAAAACACAAGACTACAGTGAGTCAACAAATACCAGAGTACAAATGGCATGCTATCATTGTGTGTATTAAATTTATAAACTGTATTAAATGTATTAGATTAGCCTATTAGCCTATATATATGCTGTATATATATGTGTATATATATATATATATATATATATATATATATATATATATATATATATATATATATATATATATATATATATATATATATATTGTGTGTGTGTGTGTGTGTGTGTGTTGTGTGTGTGTGTGTATATATATATATATATATATATATATATATTATATATATTTTTTTTTTTTTTTTTTTTTTTCCTTTACATTGGCTGACATAATAGGCTGTATTTAATATTATGACACTTTCTTCACCCAGCAGTAGATTATGGTGATATGACAAAAACTATATATTATGATTTTCTTGGAACCAGATGACAATTTTGATTTGATCAGAATGTATGTGTACAATAAGAGAATTGTATGTGGGAAAGTGTCTGTGTTCAACTCATAGACCGTTTAGCACTGCATTCAAGAGATATTAGTAAAGAGAGGTACCTAACTTAGTGACTATCTCAGCTCTGTGTTGAATATCATCTTAAGAGCAAAGTTGTTTTACCTTCAATTATGAGTGTTAAAAATAACGAGAAACAGAAAAATGCTTCAGCTATAACACAGTATTAAATTAAACCTGGGCACCTAAGTCCAGAAAATGGATGTACCTCTACACCAGTCATACCTGGAGAAATTTTTGGCCTTTAACCCAGGCTAATACTAAGACAAAACTTTGACCTTATTACCACAAGGGAAACTTGTGTTCTATAAAAGGCTATAACCACATTTATACGTGAAATTAAAATAAAATCCACTGGGAAGGAAATGTGCAAAGATGAAGATAGTAGCCTAAATCTTTTCACATGACATAAAATTGTCAGCTACTAAAGGATGAGTTGTTGTACAGCTGGAATATGGTATGAATTTAATCCTTTAGTAATTCATATGCTCACAGACTCTTAGGAGCCAAACCAAACAGCATTCAGTGCCCAATGGCCATCAGCACACTATTGCCAATCTATATCCACAGTAAGGGGAATATCTGGCAGTGAGGCTACACAGGCCACTGGGTCACTTTTGATTCTTGTTTAGCTTTAGCACATTTCAGCTCATTAGTGCACAGCCAAAGCAGTGAGCTTTAATACTAATTAGAATCCAGGCTATGTCTTCACTTGACTTTCAGCCTCTCTCTCTAAATAAAAAATGGGAAACAGTCATAGTCCAAAATAATAATGAGATGTCTCTCAGACAAATATGTTGCAAACATCTGGGACTATCTTCCACTAAATGTTAAATTGTTTCTTATCAATGTAACACTTGATTGATTTACTCTGTATTTGATTGCATATGAATGGTTATGTTTGTAGAACAGGCCTATCCATCATCATGGAGTTGTGCTGATGGTATAGCAGTTAAAGCAGAAGTTATTTCCTTAGACAATGAGTTATTTTTAATTTTACTGTAATCAGCAAGAATGGTTTAGCCATACAGTCACGGTGAAGCAGATGGGAACTCATTAGATCTGCCTTAAAGGCTTTGTGCATTGCCTGGGCAAAATTAGCAAAGCAAGGATCGAAATCCCTAACCAGCTTACATGAAAGGCGGCCACAGCCACATGATGCTATGAGAACATACTACAAAAAAGAATCCAATGTTTATGAGTTTGATAATTGTACTTTATATTGATCAAAATATTGCTTATACAATTATAAACTGATATTGAAATTGATATAAATTGATACCCGTGAGTCTGTTTTATCTATTATAGTTTGCACATTCTCAAGACCCTGGATTCCTCTTTTGGATAATATTAATAATAATTCACTGAATTTATATTTCATGAGTCCAAAAGTGCTTACATGCCTGATAGTTTTTGTAAAACTGAAATAAGATTTGTCATGGCACTGTGTTGGTGTTGCCTTGGTGCCAGTGACCTGAGGGCCAACACGAGTGGCTGCTGACTAACTAATCCTCTTTGCCTTGCACACTCCCACAGCTCTCTTTCACAGGGGTTGTTGACAGTCCAGGTGGCAACCTACTATCACGCAGATTGTCTCATACATCCTGGTTGGGGTTTTAATATTTTTTGTGTAGCATTTTTGGATAACAACACTTTTTTCAATTTTCGTTGTCTGGTTACACCTTTCAGGTAACCAACCATCCTTTGCAATGGACTGGCTGGAAGGCTCCATTTTATGGGAGAAATCTGACAGTGGATAAAAGAGAAATGATGCAGGTAATGATCAGTTTAGAATCATTGTATCAGAGAGAATGTGATGTGACTTACTTATTATTGTCTTGCCTTTTCTAATCTATGACAGAAATAACTATTGTATTGTTATTCAACAGGTAATACTAATAATTATAATTATACTAATTATCTATTACAATTGGTGATAACATTGATTAAATACAACCAATAAATGCTATGCTATGGTCTGAGTATTTCAAGCTTGAGTGACCGACCTGGAGTTTAACTCTTAAAGCAGTAACCAGCTCAGATCTAAATCTGGCCTGTAGATAATTTGTTTGAAAGCTGTTGTCTGGCAGGCACGACCCTCACACGTGGACCCCCTACAGAAACCTATTTCTTTAAAGGTGCAGTTTGTACATTTTCTGGTCACCTGCTTTTCTCCTTGAAAATTATATTACTTTGCTTGGAATGTTACACAGTTAATAAACATTAAACATATTAAACATCTGTCCCCATAGAGAGAAGCAGGTGATACTTCCAGGCCAGATTACCAGTCAGGTCTTTTACACCATAAGTGAAAAATGCTGGATAAGTTCATTGCCAGGTCGTTATTACAAATGAAAAGGTGTTCTCAATTGACTGACCCTGTAAAATATTGAATAAATAAAATTAAACACCATACTTTGGAACATTCAAAGCATATCCTTAGAGACAAGCAAATAACAAACCCCCCCTCCAGAGAAAAATATGTTGTGCAACTTTAATATGAGTAATGACCCTGTTAATATACCATAATTAATTACACGTTGAATACTTTTTTTGCCAGGGCATCACTGATACTTGACTGAGAGCAGCAGCGGAGGCCAACTGAGGCCATCGTCATGGTGACCTTCGCAGAGACCACTCAGACCTCTGCGATGGAGCTGCGTGAGCCGGTGTTTGTGAGCAGCACCCTGTCCCCAGGTCTGCGCAGGAAAAAGATGCTCTGGCAAAAGGCTGTCAAACATGTCATTGTCCAAAAGGAGCTCTCTGCTCAGGTCAGCAAAAACGCAAACTACATTTTCACATAATTCAAGTTTAAAAACACTATTTTAATGTTTTCACAGTGTAATCATCCCTTAATGGGAGTAAGCACATTTTTGTGTTTTTGCAGGTGGGTGTGGAGCCAGCTCGACAGATATTTGTAACTGATGCCTATATGCAAGAGATCAACCGTCAGATCCGTAGTAAGTCCTTACGTGGGGTAACAAAGCGACGCTCATCATCTTTCAGAGTGCACCCCCAACGAGGCTCTGCCACCAGCAGCGTTGGAGGAGCCTTCCATGACTATGCCAGTGATGCGGACCTCTTTGTGCGATGGGGTCGGACTGTTCGTGGGGTATATATACCCACATTAAGACACACTTTCAAATCTCGTGACATGGAGAAACTTTACCAGCAACACTCTTGTCACCAAAGACGTAACTCTCTCGCCATTACTAGTGTCATTGATGCTGTGGCCAAGCTTCATGTTTTAGTTCTGTACCTTGTCCTTGCCCCTGAGGAAACCCCAGATGCTTTGCGTGGCTGCCTTACAAGTCTTTTTTTGATTTTAGCTTTAGCCCTGTGTACAGTAGTTTTATCATGCAAACACTCCATGTCTCCAACATGGCTTCACTGTGCTGGTGTAGCTTGTTGGCTATCACAGACCACACAGGTGCTGGGAGGCCTGGGTTATGGACTGGAGAAAGACCCCTCCTGGTATGTCTTGTTCTCACTTTTTGCTACTTACACTCTGCTCCCGTTGCCACTGCTGTGGGCCATGTGCGCTGGCTGCCTCACCTCAATGCTTCACCTTGTGGTGGAGATGACCCGTTCATACAGTGATGCTGTCCTCATAAGACAGGTGTGAGTCACTCCAATACAAAGATACTGTACTGTTTCTGTTGTTATTCACTAAGTGTTATTTATTTATGCTTGAGCACAGGTTTTTGCCAAGGGCCTACTTTATTTGGGCATGAACACAGCTGGCTTGTTCATTCATTACTTGACAGATCATGCCCAGAGACAAGTTTTCCTTGAGACACGCCGCTGCATCGAGGGGCGTCTCAAATTAGAACAAGAGAACCAAAGACAGGTAGGTAATGAGGTAATATAGAGCATTTGGTTTTATAACGGTAACACTGTTCCTTAAAATTGTTTTTGGGGACCTCACAGGAGCGGCTGGTGACGTCTATCCTGCCTCGATTTGTTGCCTTAGAGATGATTTCTGATATGAACACTTTGGAAGATGATCTCTTGTCTCATGAGGTTCACAAGATTAGCATTCACCAATATAGAGATGTCAGGTATGTTCTGTTTTCATGTAGAAATAGTATCTCTTTGGCACCTACATATCACTAACCGCAAATAAAATCTCTTATTTCAGTATTCTTTTTGCGGATATCAAGAATTTTACACTTCTTTCCATGAACTTGTCAGCACAAGATCTAGTTCGCTTGTTGAATGAGCTCTTTGGACGCTTTGACCATTTGGCAGAGGTGAGAATCATATTATAATCATGTCAATCATAGCATATCTAGAGCATATATGAGTTCATCTTATTGGTGTCCCTCTTAGGAGCATCACTGCATGAGGATTAAATTACTTGGAGACTGTTATTACTGTGTGTCTGGGGTCCCTGAGCCACAACAGGCACATGCC